ATTCGACCTGTAAGTACCGTGAGAAAAATTCACCTCAAAATCTAAACAATAACTGATCAGGTCCTGACTCAGAATCTCAACTCTAACCGACACCTATTCATCCAAATAACTAAGTCTCAAACACCATTCTAAATATCCAAAATACCCCTTGGTTAAACTTGGTCAAAGTCAAAGTTATCTGATTCAGCCCAACCTAGTCAACACAGAGTGTGTACGCGGGGCGTACTCGAGCATTGACCACCATTGGGGTGGTTGACCATATACGCACTGCATACTCAGATTACGTAGGGCGTACACCCAATCTTCCCAAAAACTCATTAAGAACTTAATGCCTTAAGTTCTTACGTCCAACTTCCAGATCCAAGGCCAAATCATCCTCAAGAGTCATATAGTTTCCAACTTTATGACTTTGCATGTCCATTAAGTGCTTAACTCAACATCTTAATACATTACGATACTCTAAAGAATGCATGGAGCAAAACCAACCATTAAGACCCCATTTTTATGACTTAAGACCCCTCCTAAGGTTTGAAAGGACGACTTATTAGGTTAATAACATGCCATGCTCAAGAATCACCATTTTGGGACCAAAAAGTAACTTAAAATAGCAAAAACCTAGATCTACAAGATGGAGTGGTAAAGTTGCAAGTTTTATACCTTCGGGAGGTTGCAATCAAGGCAGAAATCACAGATCCAAGGTGTTTCCCAACCCAAAGCTCTTCACACTTCACTCTTCACCTTCAAGAACTCCTCTAAAACACTCCAATGGCTCTAAAAAGGCACTCTTTCACTTAGGGTTGCTTGGAGGGTTGTTTTCACAGAGGGTGGCTGAAGAAAGAAGGGGACGTGAGGTTATAATGATGATTATATAGAGCCAAAACCCTAAACATCAGGGTTTGCATGACCTTCAGTACGCCCTGCATACGAGGTGTATTCCCAGCGTACTAAGGCGCACCTTAGTACGCTTATCATTCACACGTACACTCAGCGTACTCCCAAAGTCCTGAAATTACCAAAATGCCATTATGTGTAATTTTTGCACTTTTTCTTTTACTTAGGGACCAACATGCACTAAATCTCAATATAAGGGTTAAATTAGAAGTACCTCAACATCGGCATGTTACAACATCTATATAAAAAACTAAAAAAATACATAAATATATAAAAATACTTATAAATATGTAATACACAAAAGTCACATAAAAATACACAAAAAAAATATGTAAAATACTTAAAAATACATATAAACATGTAAAACAATACATTTATACATTTAAAATACATAAATATCTAGATAACATTTAAAAAAATACATAAATATATATAAATATGTAATACATAAAAAGCACATAAAAATACATATAAAATACATAAAAGTACATATGCATACGTAAAAAATATATTTATACATTTAAAATATATAAACATCTATATAAAAAATTTAAAAATATATAAGTAAGTAAAAATACATATAAATGTGTAATATATAAAAAACATAAAATATGTAAAATGATTAAAAATACATATAAATACGTAAAAAAATAAATTTAAAATAGATAAAAACATGTAAGCATATACATATAAAACTTTTAAAAAAATGTATAAATACTTAAAAAATGGATATAAATACATTTATACATTATATATAAATTTTGACAAAATATGCATAAAAATCTCATTATTTTAGAAAAATCAACAATCTGCTCCTATGATCTATTGAACAGGTCAAAATGACTAAATTAAATAAATTAACTGGCTTCTTGGGTTTTACTATTTAAAAAGTTTAAAAGTCGGGACTTTTCTATTCAAAAAATAAAATTTAGGATTTTATTAAAAATTTTCCCAAAATATTAGGTATTTTCTGGAGATTTCCCAAAAAAATACCAACAATTACTCTCTCTCATCGGTAAACCATCATCGAGTTGCCGAGACGAGCTCGGCATGCCTCGACCTCGACCCGGTTTTCGCCTAGGTCACCGAGTTCATTCCCGAGTCCACACCAACTCCGAGCAGCCTAATTCGCATTTTGGAAAAATACAACAAAAAGTCTTGCTTTGGGGTCTTCACGTTTTTTTTTTTTGCCTGGATTTATTTATAAAGATTTAGTATGTTTTGAATTACCCAACTGCCCATAAATTTTATATTTAGTTTTAACAACAAATTCATTTCTAAAGTTATAGTAAATCATGTAACTCATAGTTTTAGACTAATATTTTTGGTATAACAAATTTTTGTATTCGATGGAATTTGCTCTAAACTCAATTTAAGTCGTTATCCGTTTTCAATTACGTATTTACGTATGACGTGTGATTAAAGAAGTTTTTTTTTGCTCAGAAGTTTTAATATGGAGTAGAACTACTAAATATTGTGTTAACAATTAGCTAATATTATCTTGATGGAGTTATAAAATTATATTTTATAAAATTATTTTGTTTATTTATTAAAAAAAATTGACGACATGGAAATTAAAATGGTGTTGTGTGTGATGACCATTTATCCGTAAAAATGTAGTAAAAACGAAATGGTGTGCAAAAAAAATGTGGATGTGTGACTCATATCCAACTTTGGATTTGTGAACATGGGTTATAGGTCGTTAGTTTTTCGTTTATGCTATTTTTAATATTCGTTTTGATTTTTTTTTTAATATATATAGGTGGTTAGTTTTTTAACAAATAATACGCATTTTGACAATATTGATAATAGATCATGGTAATAATGTTTGCAGTTTATTTATTTATTTATTTTTGTAAAATTGGCCCGGTTGCAAATGGAGATGCTAGGGTTGACAATTCTCTACACGGTACGAAATAAATGGGTTTGAGTGAGTTTTTCAACCCGCCAATCCGCTAACATGTTAACCCGTTTATTAAACGGGTTATATATGAGTTTTCCAAAAAATAAACGGGTTCATCTGCCAACCCGTTTATATTTTTAATAAAAAATATTTTATTTTTAAATGCTTTTATGTATCAAATATTAATATTTAATAAATATTATACAATACATACAATTGATTAATACACCATTTCACTATTCTGACATTTTGATTCGTGGTAAATGGGCTAAGATCGTAAGTCGTAACATGTAAGGCTAAGTCTGTAACATGTTTCTATGAATGTTTTTAATTTTCATTTGGATATTTAAGATTTAAATGTTTAAAATTCGGATAATAATTTATTCATGTTTAATTGTTAATTTTATTTATAGAACGCGACCTACGAACCTGCCAATCTGTGAACCCATATAAATAAATGGGTTGGCAGGTCATATATGGATTTATGTTCCAAACCCGCCAACTTATGACCTGCCAACTCGTGACCTGTATATTTAAATGAATCGTGTTTGGGTTTGCAAATTTTGACTCGCCAACCTACCAACCCGCGACACGTTAACCCGAACACGATACGATTTTCAGGCCTAGAAGATGCTAATAACCACAACTAAAATAAACAAGTAGATGGTTTTCGTATCAATTTAAAGATTTATAAAGTGAGACTATATTTTGCAACAACAATCCTTGTCCGGCCACTTTTATATAATATTTGGATTGTGAGAATTCAATATATAACATATTCAGTGAATTTTTTACTTTAGAAGAATATCACTATAAACATAAGAAAAATAGATTTTCGGGTTACCAAGTACAATTGCCTGAATTTATTGTTATTGAATGTAAATCACATTGCAAAAGTCTGCGAAAAGAATTGAACGGGAAGATCTTTATAACAAAATGACAAAAGAATGCAAATCACAGGCCTCCGAATTGTTCTAGTGCATATACACATCAATTATAGGTTTGTTCGAGCTTCTTAATTTACTTTGAGCTTACACTATTATACATAATTAAACATGGAAACCGTGTAAATTGTCAAAAGAACTGATGATCGTGACAAAAACACCTGAATTGATTTTTGACACACGTTTTTAAAAGATAACAATTCATAGAGTGGAAGCTACGTAATACAAATAATTTCTTGATTCATGTTTAAAAAAAGAATATGCAGAAAAACCGCAAAAGCTTGGTTTGATAACGATTTTATTAATGTCAATTAAGTAATCAAAGGTTATCAGTGTATCTGAGTAATCAAATTATTAATTAACTTTACACTTAACAATTGCGTGGATCAACATTGGAAGTATCTTCGGTTTAATTAAATATGTGGCGTGCGGCAACCGTTTCTATTTACACGCCTTTATTTTCTAATAAATTGAGTACTATTTTGTATATAAAACATGATAATATACTTTTATATATAATATGTTAAATTGTGTTTAAAATATATATTTTGTATGTTGATTTTATGTGATATGTTTTGGACGTAGAGCCCACCATTGTACGTTAATAAAAGAACCAAAGTTTGTTCAGAAACTATTAATAGTTTACTACTGTTACTGAAGGATTCGGTTTTGATGACTCTGCAAAAATGCTTGGGTCATCTTCCAACACATTCTATCCTTCTAAGTCTAAATTTAGAGAAGAAATTAACAAGCATATTTAGGTTTGTTGTTCCTCCGGATTTGGTTCAACCCCCTTAGGTGCTGTTTGGTTCACATAATGTTGCTGGAGGAATTGGAATTGAAATTGGAAAAAGAATCTGTCAGAAATTTGAATCCAATTTCATGTATTGTTTGGTTAACTAGAAATGGAACTGGAATTAATTCCAGATTCTGTTTTGTTCGTAGGAAATGAAATTGAAATTCATGTTAAATGACAAAATTGCCCTTTTGTTTATTATGTTTTAATTTGCTTTGTTTCTAATTTCTATGTAAATATATATTATATAAATTATTAAAATAGTAAAATAATTTCTAATTTACTATACCATTAAAATTATTTTTAATAATTCTTCAACAATTGAAACCCAAATATAAAACGAAATCTTTAACAACTTCCATTTCATGTTCAAGATTCTTCTATATGCTATTTCTTTCATCTTTTCATGTCAATAAACAAGAGCATGATTTTGTTAAAGGAGATGTAGATCTTGTGTGGTACCAAATTACCACCATCTGAAATGGGCATAGCTTCGATTAGTGGAAGCAAGTGCATAAAGAACCTCTCTTTTCTTACGTGCAATTCCCCTCTTCCTATAAGCATCCATTATCTTAGCAGATAAACATTCCTCTAATCTTGAGCTATACTTAGTTCGTCGTTTTTTAGCTGCATCAAGGATCCAATGAACAACTAAATTTTGTTGTTTATCCCTGGCTACAACCCTAGGGACATCATAAATATTACCAACTATTCTTACTTTTGCTACTTCGCAAATGGGTTTCACATTCTCCAGGGCTTCAGATATAAGTTTGATTGCATCACGATCAGTACGAGCTAGCTTGTGAAGGGTTTCATGGAAGATAGCACGAACTCTTGTCTTTTTGCCTTCTTTCATGCGAAAATTGACCAACTTATAGATCAATTGTTTTTCTTCACCATCCAATCCCAACCATGAAGTTCTCTTATAATACCATTCCATTGCCTACGAGCAGCAACTCGAAACATCTTTTCTAAACTACTCCGACTGTGTTACTATACTTAATCACAAGACCATAAATACATGTAATCAGTAGAAAAGCTTGAAAGTAAATTGTATTAGGTTGTCATTTGAGAAAACGCTAATGTAGACAGCAACAACTATTTTAACAAGATTTAACTAAAAGAAATTGACAAGCAGAAGAGAAATCGATTTTCAAGAGATGAGGTTGAGATAAACAGGAAAAAAATCGATAAACAGGAAGATAAATCGATTTTAAGAAACCATCGATTTTGACAGTAAATTAAGAGTGTGAGAGATAGCGAGAGGAAGAATTAGAAAAGAGGCTGATTTTGATGAAACGAGGTTTGTCGATTGATTTTGACGAACAAGTTGTATACGTGAGATAGGGTTGTATGTGGGTATAATGGTAATTGTAAACTTTCCTTGCTAGTAAGGAATTCATTCCCTCATTTAATTAAAGGAAAGTATTTTCCTTCCTTTGAAGGAATGTTTTCTCATTTAGGATTTATTTTCCCTCTTTAAAGTTGAACCAAACGCAGGAATTCGAGGGAATTAGAATCCTTTTCCCTCGAATTCCATTCCATTCCTGCCAACCAAACAGGCCCTTAGGTTATGAGGCACACCACTACCAAGGGATCATGGGGTTAAGGTCGGACACACAATTTCATAGTAGGTTTGTCACGGGAAAAAATAGTAGAAAAAAGTTTTCAAAATTTTTTGCAGTATGTATATTAAAGTCAGAAGTACCCTGTGGAACACTAAGTAAAGCCGCAACTGCATAGGGTATGATGTGGCGTCGTTGGTGCCTTGTCTACACCACGCCCCTACATGGCGTTCTGTGCCCAAGTTTGCACAAATCAATGCTTGTTGCCCAAGCTTGCCCATTCCTCAAACTCATTTGAAAAAAATATCATCAAATAGTCAATAACATTTTATTTGCACATTAAGTCATTAAACTTTTAATTGTATGTGACTGATTTGTGTCTGGAATGTTGAGTACCACAAACAAGATTGTGAATAACCATGCAAACACGAATAACACACTTGTTATCATTTATGATCTCAAATTGAGATACCGGTTAACCACAAACGCTACATTAACAACCATAAACTCGAGTTGATAAACTCGAATTGCCACATCACCCTTCCTCTTATAGTCTCAAATTAATGTGATAATTAACTAAACATGCTCCATTAATAGACATATAAAGAATTTTATATGCGTTTTCATGTATTAACATATATTTCACATTTTTCTAATATCCAAACCGGGATTTTGTTTGGATACCCTTAAGTTAATACTTAGAACTTGACATCAACTTATTGAACCCTTTCAACTAACTCCATTGGTCCATGCAAATAAATGTGCGCGAAAATGACACTCATTCAGCGGTCATTTTCTAGGTTATTTCCTTATATTAACTTATGGTGCTTAGAATGAAAGATGCCTAGTCTTGATCTATGTATCGATATATTTAAACATTTGAGGATACATATAATTTAGTTATACTATATATAAAACTATTATATGGTATATGATGTATTTTAAACATTTTAAAATTTTCAAATGATTTAATCATATTATATCTAGTTAACCATTTGAGAACACATTACAATATTAAATTGTTATTTAAAATTCTAATCATATATATATATATATATATATATATATATATATATATATATATATATATATATATATATTGGGTGTGAGACCTATATATTACATGAGTTTATTAAAAAAAACTAAATACAAATTTCTAAACATTTGAAAAGTATGTATTTATAAGACAAATGAGAATATATTGAATTATAAAAATTAAAGTGTTTTTTTTCTCTTTTAAACTTAAACAAATAATTTAGATAAATAAATAAAGAAAATTAATGAATCTTTAATTTGATAAATTTGAAATTAGAAGGAAAGCTCATTAATGAAATTGATATGCATTTATTATTGAATATAAATATTATTTACAATTTAATAAAATAAAAAAAAACCATAAAATAACATGTGGAATAAAAATTAATTTAAAATTATCAGAAAATTACATGTGGCAAAATAAATAAGAATGAGTCATGTGACAAAAAGATCTTTAGTTATTAGGGAGGATATATAAATTCGATATATATATATATATATATATATATATATATATATATATATATATATATATATATATATATATATAGAGAGAGAGAGAGAGAGAGTAAATTACATGAATGGTCCTTATGGTTTGGGGTAATATGCACGTTTGGTCCCTAACTTATTTGTTTAACTCGGAAGGTTCCTACTATTTGTTTAGACAAAACTGCAAATTTGGTCCTTGTGGATTTCAAAAATCTTTGGATAGGGTCCAAAAAGTTTTCGACTTGCATAGAAGGTCCAAAATCAAAGTTTTTCTGGGTTTTTGATCCAAAAAAACATGAAAAGACGGTTTTGCCCTTTTATTTTCCTTTTTGTATTTTTTTAATTATTAAAATACTATTTTAATTTAAAAATAAAAAGAAAAGAAAATAATTAACACCCACCCACTTACCTCCACCTCTCTCTCTCTCTGTCTGTCTCACACACACACACACACGAAGAACTTCTTATCCCAATCTCGTCTTCAATTGGCAACCTTGAAAACCTCCAAGACTTGATTTTAATCTCCATCAAACTCATCAAAAAAATCCCAGGTGAGCTTTGGAGCTGCCGGAGTCTCAAGACTCTTTACTTGTTCGACAACTGATTCCCCGGAGTAAACAAAGACCTCACCGGAGGAAACAATGGCCTCATCGGAGTCTGGTTCAACATCCTAATTTCACCACCACCACTATCATCCCCTCTTTATACCCACCGTCGGTAGAACCCTCTATCCCTCACACACTCACGCACATGATGAAAGAAGTACATCGACTCGCTCCTTGTTCATCTTTAGTTCCCAATTAAATCATCAACAAATCATCTTTCTCCTGCACATCTTACATTCCCAATTTCAAGATCAATTACATATCCCTAGGCTAGAGTACAAAGAACAAAACTGATTTCCCAAACCCTAGATGATAATACGATCGAATCCAGCATCAAAACACTTGTAACTCGCTTTAATCTGATTATCTTAGGGATGGAGTTTGAAAGTAAATATGTTCAAGAGTTCTTCGCCTACAGGTTCATCATTTTCTTCTTGTAAGTAATCAGAATGATGCTTATGACAATACTTTTCAGAAATCTTGAAACTCTGACATGTTTTTAGGGATGTAGTTTTGGATTCTGGGATTTTTATGGTTTGTTCCAATTTTTAAGATTTTCTCCATTGAAGTGTTCTTGGGTATTTTTCCAGATTTCAGTTGATTCCGTGTTAGGATGATATTTGTGTTCGATTATTGTGGGTTGAATATGTTAAACGATTTTTTGATTGAATTAGTATGTTGAATAATTTTGTTTATGATTTGAGATGAAGTTTTGATGGAGCATCGATATTAATTTTGAAAGACTGGAGCTATTTTTTATAGTAATCAATGTTTACACTTTATTTTTATTATAGATTTTGTGATATGTTTGATGTTGGTATGTGTTGGAGTTCCTTGTGTGTGTGTGTGTATTTGGAGTTGCAGGTGTGTTTATGTTTAGAGAGAAATAGATAGAGAGGAGGGGGAGGAGGAAGATGAGGAGAAGAAGGATGAGGAGGAAGAGAGAGAAGGGGGAGGGCTCCGGTGGGGTGGGTAGAGAAAGAGAGAGAGAGGGAGAGAGAGAGAGAGAGAGAGAGAGATGGGTGAGCCAACTTAATTCCTTTTTTTGCATTAATATTTATAAAAGAAAAATATAAAAAATACAAAAAAGAAATTTAAAGGGCAAAGCAGTCAATTCAAGTGCTCTATGGACCAAAAGTACAGAAATTTCCTAAGTTTAGGACTAAAAACCCAGAAAAACTTTGATTTTGGATATTCTATGCAAGTCGGAAACTTTTTGGACCCTATCCAAAGATTTTTGCAAACCACAGGGACCAAATTTATAGTTTTGTCATTTGTTTATGTTACTTAATGTGTCCTAACTGTTTGCTTTTGTTACACGTTTGATCTCTATCTTACCTAAAAAGACTATTATTTAAATAGTGAAAAATAGTGTAATTAATGTAAGGTGAGAGGGTGGGATTAGATGTGTGTTTATTTAAATAAATCAAAAAAATCAAGGGCAAAATAGTTTTTTTAGGTAAGACAAGGACCAAACGCATGACAAAAACAAACAATATGGACCTTCCGAGTTAAAAAAAATAAGTTAGGGACCAAACACGCAAATTACCCTAAACCATATGGACTATTCGTGTAATTTATATATATACATATATATATATATATATATATATATATATATATATATACACACACACACACACTAGGTGAATCCCGGAACGTTGCGCGAGCATTTAATTATTTAATTAAACTAATAACTTTTAACAAACTTAAATTTATTATTTATATATGAAACCAATGTTAGTAGCAAAACAAAACATGTAGTTACCATCTTCGTTTTATGAACAATCATGATTTTATATCATTGGTTATTTCTACTATAAATTGATAATTTTATAAACTGTTTTAAGTTGCATAAATTTTATATCAAACGTATTAAGCTGTGTAGATTGTATAAAAATGAATGCTAATATCTAATATAACGAATAAAAAATACTATGAAAAAAAAAACTACTACTTTTAATTATATAAAACCTATACAACATGTGCTACTATAACATTTATATCAACAATACTTATTAAACCCTTATAAATCATACAAAAATATATAGAAATCAACACACATTTGGTATACATAAACATTATTATTTCCTAAAACAAATCGCGTTGTAATAACCATTGATGCGATAAAACATATGTTGATTTGTATATAAAACAAACAAAGAATAATATGGAAAAATACAATGGATTTTAACAACATAAAAACAATACAACATTTAGTTTAACATTTACGTCAAACAAAACTT